TATGGATGTGCTAAAAGAGGACATGAAGTTAATTGGGGTGAGAGTAGAGGATGCTGAGGATAGGTGGAAACAGATGATTTGCTGTGGCGACCCCTAACAGGAACAGCTGAAAGATGAAGAAGATAGTTTTTACCAAAAAAACAGTCAACCCCAGATGTAATAGCAGGCTGGTTGACATTGCATTCTTACAGACTGTCCATCTCACTGTCTGTGAGTGAACAAATGAGTGACCACAACTAGCAAAAGAGCAATAGAAGGGAAGAAGACAGTTGTCTGTCAGAAACAGCAAACAGTCATATTCATAAGTATGTGACCTTAAAGACTCAGTGAGACAAGCTTGAGAGAAAAGAGGCGTGCGATGCCAGCAGGTCTCACACTCGGCTGAGTTCCACAAGGCTCCTCTCATTACCGGCATGCAACTGCTGAAGTCCACTGGCTCTACATGGCTGACCAGTCATTTTGGGAGCTAGCTTTTTTTTTTTTTTGCTCATCACCCCCATCTCAAATTTCCCCAAGTGAGAGGGGAGCAGAATAGGATTCACGCATGGGTGGGGATGCAGCTATCTCATTTTTCCATGTCCTGCTTCAGGTTTCCATCCATAAAAGGTTTTTGCACATTTCTTTGTAGGAAACAGGCAACATCTATCTAGCTATCTATCTGTTTATCTTTTCTCTGAGGAAGCCACATGCCCTGGTGTTATGCAAATAATGTATGCTTTTGACAGCTTAGAGGGGGGTAGTTTTGCAGTTTTTACCCAAACGATTTTATTAAACCAACACCAGAGAGATTTCAAAATTCTGGTAGAATGAGCTGTCCCTGGTAGGCTAGTGGTTAAGGCGCAACACTCTCACCGCTGTGACCCGGGTTTGAATCAGGATTGCGTCAGGAAGAGTATCCGGCGTAAAACACAAGCCAAATGTCAACAAGTGCAAGTCGTCAGTGTGGCGACCCCTAAACGGGAAAAGCCAAAAGTGACTTTCCTTTAGTAGAATGAGCCTTTAGCAGTGAGTTTAACTATATTACAAGATGAACCTCATGCAGAAGACCCAACCGGCTGCAAACAAGTGAATGAATTAATCACTCACTTACTTTTGTAGTTAGCCACTTTCTCATGACCAGGTTAACTTGTCTCTCTTCATTTAGGGGCTTACATCTACACACAATCACCATTGTCGTATTAGACGCCTGATATAAAACACCGCCTTTCTTGCTAAAGGCCAGCTTGGCTCTTTAGAAAAGTCACATGCATAACAACCTCAATATGTGTGTGTGTGTATGTTTGTAAGTTATGTATGCACATGTTTGTGACTTGAGGGTAGGAAAAAAGCTATGTGCAGACACTACACACATCCTGTATTTGCCCTCAGCCCTCTGCCACTAGCATCTGTCTCTCAGAAGGCTACATTTACTATGTGGACTGCTAGATCACACATTTGCAGCGTGCCCTGCTCACATTGTATTATATTTTTTAAAATAAGATAACATTGACAGGGTTTATATGTCAAAGGCTCCCTTGCTGTGTGGAAGGGGAAATGTTATTTGACATTGTAGGGGAGAAAGACACATTTTATCTATAGATTACTGTTTTTTTTATTGCTTTTAATGGTAGAGTTTGTAGGTGTACTTACAGTATGTTTTTTAGGAGGGGTCAGAACATGTTATGTGTTGTCGAGCAGCAGGGGTTTGACAGGAGGGATTTTATTACCTGCAGATCTTACTTTGATGAATAAATTCTACATCAGCACTTGACATTTAGCTTGTTTGCTTTTTTCTGAAAGTTCACGTGGGTTTCCTTCCACAGGTTTTTATGCACATTTTCAGTTTTCACATAAAAAACAGTTAAAATGCCAGAAAAAAATCTTGAAATCTTGCGGTGTAGTTTTTATGCTTGGCTGATGTAGAATGTATTGATAAAATAATGGAAACAAACTTAATCAGATGAATTCATCATCATGAATTCCATGAAGCACAGGACTTAAATGTCCACTAAAGTGGTGCATCAAAACAGATGTTCAGTTTGTCTCTCTCTTTTTCTTTTGTCTCTTAGTCTTTACCTGTATGTCCTCTTTCTCATCAGATGAAACCATTAACCAGCACCTCACCATGAGGATGTGTCACTTTAGTGCTGACAAGTATGAATAGCTTTTGCTTTAATGCACAGCTCTTCTGGAATACAGAAATGTATTCACTTGGCTAAACATTATTATTTCATGCTTCCCTTCCCTGGTTCATACAGCTTTTTAAGCATATTGTTATAGTATGCAGTAAAACCCATTTCAGGTCATGTGAGCATGTGCACTGTATTCAAGCTGCATGAGACTGGAGCAGCTCAAATTTAATTACACTGTGCAGGTCAGTGGGAAGCTTAAATGAGGATTGGTTGGGTAACTGATGTTCTTTGTATTTTCAGGATAAAGGAATGGGTGGACCAGATGCAAAAAGAGTTGGTCACATTAATAGACACAGCCACTGGCATCCAGAGCCTAATAAAGGTAAGCATTATTTTCTGTTACACACACACACCCTGTAATGTAAGTGTTGGGGTAATGTGTGCAATGTGAATTCCTCACTTTTGTGTAAGAAAATATATTATGATAATACTTGAGCTGCTGTGAGTATTTTTAAATGGAGGATGAAACAGTTTTTGGCATGTCTGTGGAACGATCTAAGCTTCTGGCCTTATGGTAGGTGTGTCCATGGCAGCAATGGAGTACATCTGACAGCTGCCATTACTAGGACACAGTGCGCTGTCAACTTTGATGGTGTGCTACTGACTATGGTTCATCAGAATCCTGTAATACCTAGGAACACTGATACAAAAAGCTTCTTTCCCCCTTTTAACTAGCTTAACATAATAACATTAGTTACAGTATTTGCCATCTAAGCTGTCTGTACCTATACAATGCATCCACACATATGGCTTCATAAGGCTGGGCCAGTGACAGCTACCAGTGTGCAGAAATTATCCAGATAATGCCAACGTCCAGTGGTAGCAAACTTTTATATTACTTTCTGAGCTATTTAACCTAGCTGCTAGTTTCCATAATATACTGTATATTCTGTTATAGAAGCAGGTAGCACATGGTTAGCAGTGGTTAGCGCTGTCGACTCAGACCAAAAACGTTCCGGGCTCCAACCTTGCGGCCGACCGGGGCCTTTCTGTGTGGAGTTTACAGGTTCTTCTCTTTCCTGCGTGGGTTTTTCAGGAACTATGGATTCCTCCCACAGTCCAAAGACTTGCATGTTAGGTTTGTTGCCCACAGGTGTGAATGTGAGTGTCAGTGGTTGTCTGTCTCAGTGTTACTATGACAGCTTTCCAGACTTTTAAAGTCCTTCTACATAATATTTAAACTTCAGTATTTTGGTTTAGGGTATGGGTTTCTTCAGTTAAACTTATGCTTATCTCCAACCCAAGCTTTTCTCTTGATGTTTTCTCAGATATATGAAACACACAAAGATCACTATAGCGTGGGGTACAACAATGCAACAGAACTAGTGGCAACGGCTGCTGGGAACATAGAGAGACTGCTAGATAACCGCTCCCAAGCCCTCAAGGTGAGTGTGATCTGTGGTAGTGCTGCTACTTCTAGGAAACCAATTTAGAGAAATATGTTTGATTATCACCTCTTTTGCTGTTGTGATGTGATAACTATTTGTCATCAACCTGACCCTTAACAGCTGCTGATTTTTGCAGAAGCATAAAATGCAAACTTCAGATTGTTTGTAAGATCAGGTCCAGCATTTCTATTAGCACAGTGGGCCAGAGCCCAAGGAAGCATGCAGAAACAATCTCCTTCTCCTCATTTCATGTCAGATCAACCACTGGAGCACAGCCAGGCCATGCACTGATCCAACATAAGCAGACATCCTCCAGCCACATGACTTAATCCAAAGTTCAAGTTACTATGTGCTAAATAATGATTTAAAAAAAAAGAATCTGTAGTGCATGCGTTGTATCACTTTTTGCTGTTTGGAGAAAAAAAAAATCACAGATGACCCTGTTTAGTTTCAACTTTCAGGAAACCTTCGTCTTGCTTGCCTTGCTGCTAAGGCCTGCTTCTTAGTTTAAACAGCAGCTTCTGACCAACTAAATTAAATTCTCCGGTCACGCCTGTTCTCAATCAATTCGACTCCAAGACCCAGAAATATCCAATTAAATCTTGACAGCCTGTTGCCATAGTTACACTTTCATTGATTACCCCATCATTTCAGCCAAGCATTTTGTTTTTCTTACATTCCAATTAATTGCCAAGGGATGAAGAACAATTATTTTCTGGTGTTGTTGTGTTACACCCTGGAAAAGAAACACAACTGCTCAGTGAACTGATGGCAGTAGAATAGAGATTGTACCGTTGCACCCAATGTGACCTGATGTCCTATACTGAGATTCACAACCAGCTAAACTCTCATTTGCATCACTTCCTCCAAGGAACAGGCACATGTTGTATTTGACCAGGATTTAATGCAAAAACGTGTGAAACTGAAATGATACAAAATACAGAGAAATATTCAGTGTCTATAAATCAGAATCAATATCAAATAAATCATTAATGTTGTATATAATGTTGTTGAGTTTAATGCTATGTAGTTTTATATGAGGCTTACTACTCTAACACAAATATCAAATTATCACAGATTAACACATTCTAAACTTACTCAAATAATCAGCATCGTGTCTAACATTCGTATTAAACTCAGAAACTTACTCATATTGCCACTCAAAGGACTACGAACCAGTGGATGGCTTTAGATGGGGAGTGAGACACACCACCATGTTTGTTGACATACTCAAAGCACGTTTTTCTTCTCTTGCCACCTAATGGCTAACATACAACTGCCATAGAAACTAATGCCCTCTAGAGGACTGAATGGGCAACAACATATTAACAGCTCCAGCACACTTTTGTTAGATTTATGTCTGAATGATTGTTTTAGTTACGCACCAGGTAACAACATCCACACACAATGAGCTACCTCATTATGTTATAACTAGGTAATACGCAGCTGCTCCAGGCCTGTGGAGCTCTAGATAAGAGATGGAGTCTGCTGGACGGACTTCATCTGTGTAAGGGGTTAGCCCAAAAACTGATAAATGTATTAGGCTCTGTGTTTCCAGGA